AGTCAATGTATATTTTTAAATAGGTATTAGAAAGTAACAAGTAGGGTATAAAACAATTGCAACATCAAATGGAGCATTTTCAGTCATTCTGTTTCAAAAAAATGATCTAACTATCAATATGTAGCATGTAGATGAAAGAAAGCTGAGAGCCAACACATTTAGCAAGTGTGTCTGAGAACAAAAAAAAATAATTTGGATATTAAGGCTTTTTTCTTCTTAAAGAAGGACGTCTTCTTCTTAGGATGTCTGTAGATGATTGCATAAAATAAAACCATCATATGATTTTGAAACATATTTATTCATTGCCCTTAATCACTTTAATTGTTATGCAAAATATAATTGTATATACATTCATATTCTAGCATTGAAAATTTTTACAAATTTAAACCTCATTCATAAATTTCCCAGGTATGCTTTCTTGCAAAAGTTTAGCAATTCTAATGGATGGGTTGTTATTCTTTAGTTCTCTCTCTCTCTCTCTCTCTCTCTCACACACACACACCCCTTAGAAGTCAAATTTATTGCAAAAAATTACACTGCAATCACACAGAATACAATGAAATCACAGTTATTCATCAGCCTAACTCTCTCCCTTTAATAGCTATGTTGGTTTCATTACAATAGAATCCTCTACAAAAAAGTCAAATAAAATCTTGGTTATGCAAATCACACTAACGAAAACACTGAAAACCTGATTGTGTGAAACATCTCAAGCTTAAGGAGGCATGTCACAGTGATCAATTTTAAATTAGTCACTTTAGAACACATTCTGTTGCTTCATTCTCCTGGCAGCTTCCTGGATTTCTATTTCTGCAAAAACAGTAATTACAATTGTACTGGATGGCACAAGTGAGTTTCTCTTCCCAAAAACTAGATATGAAAATTAGTCCACTGGGTCCACCAAATAATATTGACATCTCAAGTCCTCTTAATAGGTTCACTTCAGGTACAGACTTTCAAGAAAGAGGGACGCTCTAATTTCCCCTCTCACTGGAGTCTAGATAAGAATTTTGACTATTTTTAAGCTGTTATCTTCTAGCCCCCAAACCAGCTTCTCTATTCTGCATTGAGATTTTGGGGCTGGGTCTCTGCACACCACATTTCTCTTTTGCGAGCTGGCTTCCTGTTAGGTTCTACAATAGAGAGCCCTGGAGACAGATTATGGGACAAGAGAAAGAGGAAAAGGGATTTATTCCTTCATGTTCACTGGCTGTCAGTGTTGTCTTAGCAATCATCCTCTTAACGTGTTAGCAGAAATCAGTTTCTGTCTACAGATTTTTGAGACCTTCCAGAACCAGCTCATTCTGTCATCTCAGAGGTGCCAGCACTGGGCTGCTGGCATCCCCTCCTGATAGTTCTTGAGTGAGAGCAGACAACGGCTCTCTGCTGAGCTCCTCAGATTCTAATCATGGCTACAAAGCACCACCTCCAAGTGTGGACCTCAGAACTACCAGTCCCTCTCCCAGGCTCCCAATAACCCAATTCTTCCTTTGATTCCTCAAGCCCTAAAAGTGCAGGTGCTTCCTGTGGCCCCATCTCTGCATAACATTAAGGCCCCTTTGCCTCTTCCCAGTCCCCATTATTTATTTAAACTGTTCTTTAGATTACATTTTTCTTTGTTAAAAACAACAGGTACAGTTTCTGTTTTCCTGAGTGGTCAGTGTTATAGAATGTATGTTTAATTTTTAGATTGAAGACAGAAAAGGTGTAGAAAGAGAAGAGAGAATGAAGAATCTAGCATTCTTTGCAATACTTTCCATTCACTGTATTATTTAATATCCAAGAAAGACCTATGAAACAGGTGTAGTTATCACAATTTATATTCATAAAAAGAGTGATAAAACTTATTGAGTTCCTAAATGTGTCATCATCTTCACATATATTTATCCATTTAATAATCATAAACTTTCTGTCAAGGGAATATATTAGATCTATTTTACGGATGTAAGACTGAAGTTGAAGACAAATTATCACATTTTAGATACCTAGTGAGCCCTAGAACTATAATGTGAACAGTTTGCCTGAGCCTTAAGCCAATGGCACAATGATACACATCTTCAAATTATTAAGAGCTTAATTACACAATGCCAAAAAAATACATTGGTTAATATCACTACCAATCTCATCAGAAAATTCTTGAAGTATTGGGAAGTTGTCAAGTGTGGGTGGCATACAAATGATTTTCAAAATTTTAATTTTCATTTGAAAGCTCTAATTTGTTCACTGGCAACAAAGAGAAATACAAAATGATTGCTTTCCTTGAGGTGACAATGTTGCTGCTTATTTTTGAGAAATATATACCAAATACCTAAGTCTCAAGAACTCTAGTTTGACTGAAAGTCAAGCGTTCACATTAAAATGATGTTAGTGAAAAAGTGGTTAGTTCAGCTTGCAATTCAACCCATCACACAAGTCCTTTTGCTTGAGACAACACATACTTCAGTTTGCAGCTGAAGTAATTTATGGATACTTCACATGCCATCACATAGAATATTAAAAAGATACTTATACAGAGGATGTTATAAAAATACTAATCTATATGACTTAATCAAGGATAGTGTTTGGTGAACTGGCTTTTTTTTCCTTTAAATACATCATGGTAAAATATAATTAAATACAAATATAAATATATACGACTACTAGCACCAGTTTGGTGTTACTATCTTGAATTCAGATTCCAACAAGTTTACCTACCATTGCATTTGCAACCCCAGTGCATTTGTCAATACAGTGAAAAAGCAAATAATATCTTGATTTTCCTTTTAAAATAGTTTTCACTCAACAGAACCTCTAAAAAGTATCTTAGAAAGTCCACAGTCCAAGGACCAAGATTTTGAGAACCACTCATCAAATAATGAGACAGAAACAATAACTGAAGTGTTAGAGTACCTCTAAAAATTCAAGTGTAGAAGCCGTCTTCTAGGCCAGGGTAAGCAGGGCATACCCCTCTCTACCCTCAGTGACATCATTGTGGTGAGTTATAAATTTAACCTAAAATAATGCATTTAAAATAACTGATCTGGGACAAAGGAAATGGTCTTGCCCCAGTGTGGAATCCTGATGATGACTGCTTATTAGTACAATTGTTTACCCACAGCTGGGACTCTGATGACTTCTGCCCAATCAATATCAAGAATTCTAGTTTGGCTGAGAGAAGAGAAAAAAGAGTGAGAGAGAAAAAGACAGAGATGACAAAAGACAAAAGACACAGAGAGTGACAGAGGACAAGAAACAGAGGTAAGGAGACAGTCAAATATACTGAAGGAAGGAAGGAGATGGGGAGACATAAAGGTAGAGAGACAGAGTCAGAGAAGCACAAAGACAGAGAAAAGAAGGGATGGAAGGAGGGACAGGCAAAGAGAAAGAGTCAAAAAACAAACAAAAGAATGAGGGTTTAATATTGCATTTGGTTGCCAAAAAGGAAAGAGACTAATCTTTGCTTTGACATAGTTTTCAAATAGTCACAGTTACTTGAGAAGATTTTCTTTTTCTCTTGGGTTGGAAGGTTGATTTAATGTGGATATACGTGGCTATGTTCTCAGGTGTGTACTGTGAAGTGTTTTGCCCTCTCTTCTGCCACAATCTGCCATGACTGACTCTTTTATTTTTTTAAGCTTTATTGATTTATTTTGAGAGACAGAGTGCAAATGGGGAGGAGCAGAGAAAGAGGGAGAGAGAGAATCCCAAGCAGGCCCCACAGACCCCAGTGTAGTCTGGAACTCACAAACAGTGATGTCATGACCTGAGCTGACACCAAAAGTCATACCCTTAACCTAATGAACCATCCAGGTGCCACTACCATGAATGACTCTTTTTTTTTGTTTTATTTATTTCTGAGAGAGAGAAAGAAAGGCAGCATGAGCAGGGGAGGGTAGAGAGAGAGGGAGACACAGAATCAGAAGCAGGCTCCAGGCTCCGAGCTAGTTGTCAACACAGAGCCCGATGCGGGGCTCGAAACCATGAACCATGTGATCATGACCTGAGCCGAAGTCGGACACTTAGCCGACTGAGCCACACAGGCGCCCCAACCATGAATGACTCTTAATGGAGCTCCTTAGTAGGAGCCTGCATTGGAAGAAGACAGACCTTTGCATCTGCAGTCTAGAGAAGAGGATCCTGATGCCTGAGGTGCATCAAGTTAGTCAAAGCTTTCTAACTTTGTCATTTGTTCTCTCAAGTTCATAAGGCCCAGAGAAACTCAGGTTACATAAACAGAAAGAGACTTTAATGTATACTCTTTCCTCTAACCATAATAATGCATGACTTGTATTTGAGATAAAGAAACCATTGATTCTTCTTTTTTTTTTTTTAATATTTTTATTATTTCTAGGGGAGAGAGAGAGACAGCGTGAGCAGGGGAGAGTCAGAGGGAGAGGGAGATACAGACTCTGAAACAGGCTCCAGGCTCTGAGCTGGCAGTCAGAGCCCTACGCGGGGCCTGAACCCACGAACTGCGAGATCATGACCTAAGCGAAAGTCGATGCTTAACCAACTAAGCCACCCAGGCGCCCCACCATTGATTCTTCTTAATCTGAACTGTCACTTGTCTTAACCATACATTATGCATGTCCAGATTCTTCAACACACAGTAAAGATCCATTTTGCACTGAAATACTAAAAACATAAACAAAACAAAACAAACTAATTTCTCAATCTTAACACTGCTACTGTGAAGTAGGAGGGACACAATGCTATATTCATTGTAGGGAAAAATTAAACAACAGGCTAAAAAATGAAAGGACTCTCTATCACTGTTGGTTATCACTACTAGTATTCACTTGGAATGAGATGAGCAAGTGGAGAGTGCTGAGTATGATCAGGTATCAAATCAGTTAATGACCAACAATGGGAGTTCTGGGATGCTCTTCTCCAATATGAAACAAAAGGGAATTTGGCATCAGCTACCTCTGGAGGCAGCACAAGCTGTATGGGGCTGCATGTAACACTGAGTGGAGGGGGAGAAAATGTGCCAGGAGCCAGAATAGGCTGCCAGTACCAGCTGTTAGGATACCAAACAGGAAGACAGGCTGCCGATGCACTCCTGCTAATTCTGGTGAGTTTTGAATACTTTCAGACTGGACCCTGACTCTTATTAAAGTAAAGTGACAGGCTTTTGTCTTGACAGTAGCTTGCTTGCTTTCTTTTTCTTTCTTTCTTTTTTTTTCTTTTCTTTCTTCCTTTTCATTCTTACTTTCTTTCTATCTTTCTTTCTTTTCTTTCCTTCCTTCTTTCCTTCCTTCCTTCCTTCCTTCCTTCCTTCCTTCCTTCCTTCCTTCCTGCCTTTCTTTCCTTCTTCCTTCCTTCCTTCCTTCCTTTCCTTTCTTTCTTCTT